AAAGGGAGTCGCCCTGTCTGAAACCCCGTTTTGTGGCGAACGGCTCGGAGAGGTCTTTTCCAATTCTGACGGAGCTGGTGGTATTGCTCAACGTCATTTTACACAGCCGTATGAGTTTTGAGGGGATGCCAAATTCAGACATAGCGGCGTATAGGCAACTCCTTTTAGTGCTGTCAAAAGCGGCTTTAAAGTCGACAAATAGGTGGTGAGTGTCGATCCTTTTCTCGCGGGTCTTTTCCAAGATTTGGCGTATTGTGAATACCTGGTCTATGGTGGATTTGCCAGGTCTAAAGCCACACTGATAAGGCCCAATCAGTTCATTGACGGTGGGCTTCAGTCTTTCACACAACACGCTCGATAAGACCTTGTAACCTATGCTTAGAAGGCTGATCCCGCGGTAGTTGGCGCGAATGGCGGGGTCACCTTTCTTGTGGATTGGGCAGAGCACACTTAAATTCCAGTCGTCGGGCATGCGTTCATCTGACCATATTCTGCACAAGAGTTGATGCATGCACCTTATCAACTCCTCGCCGCCGTACTTGAATAGCTCAGCTGGCAGGCTGTCAGCTCCAGCGGCTTTGTTGTTTTTCAGCCGCGTTATTGCTATACGTACCTCGTCATAGTCAGGCGGTGGAACGTCGACTCCGTCATCATCGACTGCGGGCTCGGGTTCTTCTTCTCCACAACTTTCTGTGCTGCTGCCATTTAGTAGGGCGGAAAAGTGTTCCCTCCATAATTTAAGTACGCTCTGGACATCAGTTACTAGGTCGCCATTATTGTTCTTACAGGAGAGACCAGAAGCGTTAACCACTGAGCATATAAACGAGAAAACATAAAACGATGCATTTTTAATTTCTCTAGCCTCCTGCAACAAAATATGAGTTTTCATAAAAAGTGGACTTAGCAACTTTTCTCTCTAAGCTAGCGATATGTGGCATTTGTTAAGTTGCTGTACTAAGGCAACCTTTTCCATATTCATATTTACGCATTCCATTGCAAAGCTTTTCATTTATTCAGCTCTTTGAGGCATAATTAAAATAAATCAAAAATTATTTGCATATTCTAGCATAAAACATATTCGCACAAAATTAAGTACACTATTAAAGTAGAAAAAGCATAAAGCTTGAATGCCATCAGGTAAAGTGCAAAAAAACCAAAAAAATCAATCAATGTATAACGGTGCTACAGAGTCTTATTGTACCCTTATGACAGGCTGTCACGGTAGAGGTGTCCGCCACAGGCATCATCTACAAGTATGTATGTACAAACATAATACATCTTGCATAGGGGCAACAACAATAATAAGCAAGTGTTTTGCATTATCTATTCTTGGCATACAAAAACAATAAATAAAGCATACCACATCAAACGATGACAAGTTTGGGCCAAGGTTCGCTACCAAATCGGTGAATATGTCTATATGCATAGCCTTATGCCGACAAAGTATTTTATGTGACGTTTTTCAAAATGGATTTAAGCTTAGTAAAGTTTTTCATTGCTCATTGAACAGTACAGTTACAAAAAAGCCCTTTCAGCCAACCCACGCTCTCTAAGTCGAACAATCAAGAGTCACGCACAAACCCACACGACTACGGCAGCCGTCATGACGCGTCAGACGTAAACACAAATGGGCACCTGATTGTCTGCAAACAAACGTACTGTCAACTGTACGTACGTCCATATCAGGAATGTTAATCCCGGGATCCCGGCCTTTATAAGGTCCCAAAAATTCCGGGATTCTTGGCAAATAATCACGGAATTTTCGGCATTTTTTTATTTGTACTGATGGCAATAATAGAAACTTCTTTTCTTGTCCAGTATTGCCTATATTTCTTTTTTTATTTAATAATAAATATTATAAATAAATACATAATAATAAAGATTTTATTTTTTTTAATTCTAAAGGAATTTCCTCTTTCATTAGGTACCCATATTTTTATTCTATATGGCATTGATTTTTTTAAAATAATTTTTTGGAATTAATCATATCTTTGAAATTACAAAGTCGTTCAAAATAAATCCTGCGATCAGAGAGAAAAATAAAAACGCCACTTTAAATAAAAAAGTAGGTTTCAAACCCATTTTTTATTATTTATTTTATGGTAGGAGAGCTGCTCAAACAATATAGAAGCAATTTTTTTCGATTTAAGTAAATCCCGGGTCTAATCTCGGGATCCCGGGATTGTGACAACGACATACCGAAAATCCCGGGATCGGAAAAAGCTGAAAAATTAACATTTCTAGTCCCTATGTAATTATTCATACGTGAACCCAACAAACCAAAATTATGGGTTTAATAAATTGTGTCAGTTTGTTTATAAATATTATGTATATGGGGGTACGAGAGAGAATGCACCCTTTTTTTTGCCATATTTTAAGCTATAAAATATTCTCTATGACATACAGTGACTCAAACAAGTGACCACGTATTATTTTGCTTTTAAATATTCACAATTTTCTTCAAGTTAATTTTTTTTTTGTTAGTTTTACATAAAAATATTGTCCAAGCTTTAATCAAGATATATAAATTAATGTTTTAAACTATAAAAAATTTTGGAAAATTCAACAAGTTTTTAAACTTTTTTATCTGAATCTCTAGAACATTTTTGGGTATGCGGTTGTATAGTCCACGCCATTCTAGTACAGTGAAGTGCAAATTTCAACCGCATTGATTTTTCATAATTTTTTTGCTGCTTTTTTCTAAATCGGTGAAGCTTGGAAAAAAGTATTTAACTTGAAAAACATTATGAATATTAAAAAAAATTAACACGTGGTCATTGTATATGTACTAGGGTGCTTTTTTGCGACTATTTTTTTTTTCGGTCCCATCGTGAAATTTTGTTGGAAATACCCAAAA